TTGCAACGGTGCGTCCTAGGGGGGAGACTTCGCCTGCCCGAGACCAGGCGTCAACAACGGCCAAGATCTGCTCCCTGGGGGGGAGGGGGGAGGGGGGTGCGAGGGCCCGCGCCGATCGGCAAGACATTGCATAATAATCATCTCTGACCCGCGTGCAAAACGGATTCATCCAACAATTTTTCTTTCGCAAGGGCGCGCGGGCCGCTGCCAACAAACCGTTTCCCATTGCACGGCAATGCTTCGCCTGGAAGGCTGCGACTCAAATGCGCCGCGCGTCGTCTGCGGCGCGTTTCCACGGGCTCAGCAGCCCGACTCTGCTTGGTCCGTGCGTGCCAAGCACTGGCAGGCGTGTTGCGGGCCGCGGGGCGCGCGGGGGAAGAGGGCCACGGCGCGTCGCCCACCCTGGCCACGGCTTCGCTGTCCGCAATCATTAAGACCTTGCCGGCGCTGAACGCTTGGGCGCTGCTCGGACGATCCGCAAAAATCTGCGAGAACCTGATGACGTCTGGGAGAATCCGGAAGAATCTGGAAGAATCCGCGCGGGCGTTGCGGCAACGCCCGCGCGGTAGAGGAGGAACGCCGCCTCGCCCATGCTGAGAGTGTCGACGAGGGGCCTCGGGCGAGAGTCGGCCTGGCCCAGGCCAGAGTAGCCCCAGTGCACGGGGGCGCTCCGATGACCCTCGGGAGCACGGGGCGAGCATGGTGGCCTGTCGCGTGCACACAGATGACCTGCTGACCCTGGTCGCGGTTCTGAACGGGCCCAGCCTCCACGACGCGGATGGCACTGACCTGCTGACCCGGGTCGCGGTTTTGGACGGGTTCAGCCCCCACGACGAGGATGGCCACTGGACCCTCGGCCCTGGTGCCACCGCCGTGGGAGTCACCGCGGACTGCTGGGCGTGTGTAGAGGAGGACCGCAGCGGCGGCGGAGCTGGACACCTACTTTTTCCGTCGGCGGCGAGGCAGAATGGCTGCACCAGCGATAGAGCTAAACGGGGGCACCGAAAAGCGAATTGGCCAGCGTGCAGGAGAAGGGAAAAAAACGCCAGCGTGAAGGAGCAGGAGGAGGCGGGACCACCTCAGAGGCGGACGACCTCCGTCCTGAGTGTAGCTAGATACCTACACGCGCCCAGAGAATTCTCGGCCTTCCAGATCTCGGGGGGGGCCAAGAAGGGGGCGTCCAAGAGGGGGGGGCGCAAATCATGGCCGGCGGCATGTGCGCGGCCCAAGGGGGGGGGGGGACAGGGACGTAATGAAATAAGAAGAGGCGCCGTGAAATCTGGGGAAGTATCATGGCCCACGCCATGATATACCCCCCCCCCAGTCATCACCCCCCTCTTTGCCGCCCCCGACCTACACGCGCCCAGAGAATTCTCGGACTTGCTGACCGCGCCGCGGGCCTGGCCTTCTCTCGAGTGGCCAGCCCGTGCCGCGGGGCCGGGGCAGCAGCCCCTCCGCCCGCGCACTGCCGGCAGAACCGCGGCCGCCCACCGGTGGTCTGCTGCACGTCGCGGACCAGCCGCGCGACATGGCCTTGGCGGCACTTCCAGCCGTACCCGTTGAGGAAGGCGACACCACATCGAGAGCAGCGGCACATGGGGTCAAATGGGGTCGGCCTCGGCGTTGGCCTCGGCGGGGGTGTGGGCACCGTCCACAAGCGCAACAGCGCGTGGCGCAGCGGCGCTGAGGTCCCAGCTGCCTGCGAAGCGACGCGGCGGGGCCGGTGCTGCAGAAAAACGCTCGCGGCCACGGCGACAGGGAGGCAGGAGCCATGCCCGCGGCGGTCGTCGTCGGCGTCGTCGGCTCCGAACTCCGGGGCGCGGGGCGAGTCTGGCTCGGGTCGGGCGAAAGGGGGGGATAGCAAAGGGGGGGTTTGAGAATCAGCTCGCGTAGCTGATTTTCCCGGCGCCTCCCGGCGCTGGAGGCGACAGCGTATCGAGGAATAGGCCCCTCGGAGGGGCCGAAACCAGCTGCATGCAGCAAATCTCGTAACCCCCCCTTTCCCAATCCCCCCCTTTCGTCCGGCCCGACTGGCGTGACCCCGGGCGCGGCCGTGGCGCTGGGCTTTGCGCGCCACGACTGCGCGCGGACGCCACCGCTGGGGCCTTGAGCGCGCCGTGGGGGTCTGGTCTATACCCCCCCCCCAACGTCAAGGCAGGGGGGGGCGTCAAGGGGGCAAAACGCCTAAGCCGTCAAGACAAACCTTGGGACCGAACTTAGCCGTCAAAACCAGACTTGGCGAACAGATTCAGCGACGCAGGCTTTCATATCCTCTGCTTCCTCGTCATATGCCCCCCCCGTTTCCTCCCCCATGCCATCATAATTGTTACTTTGTCTTTACGCCCCTCGTCTACATTCGCCCGTTAATGTTCCTGGTGCTCTCGTTTCTCATGTACCTCTCCTCGTGCCCCTCGTATTGCTGATCTACCGTATCTTCTGAAGTATCTACCGTATCTACCTTTATCGTTCGTCCCTCTTCTGATTCGGCTACCCCCTATATGCGCCCCCACCCCTGATATTTTCATTGAGTTTAACTTCGCGCCCTCGCTCACGGCTGCAAGTATCTTCGCGCCGTGGCCCCTCAGACCCTGGAAAACATCAGACGGTGGAGAAGTAAAGTGGGTGCGACAAAGCGCGAGACTGAACGCAATGGTGGGAGTTAGAACGGGAGAAGTAGGACAGGACTTGCGCACGGCAAGGGCATTAAGGACCCCGAGTCCAAGAGAGGCGGGTCGCAGCACGATGAGGGAGGCGCATTGTTTTCACCCACCTGCGGCCCCGAGCGAACGGAGTTGCGCGCCCCACCTGCGGACTGCACAGCAGTCCCAACCGCTGAGAGCCGAGAGCAACCTCGGCCAGACAGAAGGAGAGATGGAGAGAGCGAGCCAGGGAGTGAGGACTGAGGCGCCAGCTCGCGAAGCCACCATCGCGAGGGAAACTACCACGCCGTGAAGAAGTGTCTTTGTACCCCCCATCCTTATTTTCGACCCCCCCCCTCGCCATTGCCCCCCTCCCCCCAGTCGCCATGCGAAGGGGGGAGGAGATGGCGGGAGGCATGCGGAGGAGGAGGAGGAGGAGAAAGTGGATGAGGGCAAGTAGGAGTGGAGGAGGAGTAGAAGGATTGAGGACTGTCTTGGATAAGCGCCCCAGTGCGGGGGGCATACACAAGCTCAACTCCGAAACCAACTTTCGACACGCACGAATCCCACATCGCCCCACCACCCATGTTACACCGCGAGCCGTGCAAGCGCCTAGTCCTTGCGCTTGGTGCGGCGCAAGCCGCCACCGCCTGCGCTCTTGGCGCGCGCCGTCCCCGTCGGCGGCGGCGCGGGCTCACTCGGCGCTGCGGCCGACGTCTCAGCACCCTCGGCCTTCATGGCTGGGAGCTTCGAGCAAGACCCAACCTGGCTCAAGGTGTCCTTCTGCTTGGGCTTCGGGGTGCCGCCGCCCGAAGCAGAGCCTGTCTTCGAGTCGTCCTGGTTCATGGCGCGACCAACCTCCTCCGTGCTGGCGTCCTTCATGGCCTCGAGCTCGCGCCAGAAGCATTCTGGAATGCCGCTCGTCCTCTGGTTGCGGTTCTTCTCCAAGAACTCGCGGGCAAGGGCGCTCCCCTGAGGCTTATTCGAGTTCTCTGCGATCAAGAACGAGCCCCTGATCAGCACCGAAGCCTGGGTAGCCTTGCCCTGGGCGGGGGGGGGCGAGGCAAAATGGTGAGGCGCAGGATGGCACCAGTCGGAACTGATTGTAATCAGCACATCCTATCCATCCTCCTCCACCTGCTCCTCCCTGCCCCTCCTCCCCTCCTCCTCTGATCCTCCTTCTCCTCCTCCTCTCCCTCCACCTCCCCCTGCCAACTCCTCATCCACTCCTCCTCCTCCTCCTCCTCCTCACGATTCTCCCCCTTACCCTTCTCCTGCTCCTCCTTCCTCCTCCCTCTCCCCCTCCCGACCCCCCTCTTCCTATCCTCCTCATCCTGCGCCCCACCCCTTTGACACCCCCCAGGCCAGCATCTCCACGCCGACGGCCACCGTCTGGCTGGTCAGCTCGTTCTCGCTCACGGCGGGCGTCAGCAGCATGAGCTCGGCCGATACGCTCAAGCGTGCGAGCCCGCCGTGCAAGTCATTGTAAGCCTTGATCACGGGACCCAGCTTGTTATCGAAGAAACTGCACGCCATCTTGACATCCATGACCGCGTTCTTGAACGCTGCTCCATACGATGGAATCGTAGTCTTCACCACATCCGCCAAGGTGTTCACATGCTCGCACATCATCTGGATGATGTAGTTGCGGCACTTCCTTGCGAAGATCCCCACGAGAACGAGCCAAGACCGCAACGTCTGGACACCGAAAGGGAGCTGCCACCCGTTCGCCTCCAGCTTCAACGCGCCATGCGAGTTGATCACGCCGTCGAGCTGCACAATCATGTTGCTGAGAATTGCCTGCATGTAGACGGCCTTGTTGCACCCCTCAGTGTCGAGGCTCACCGCGTCGGAACCGCCAACGTTACTGTAAAGCGAGCGCTGCAGTGATGCCATGACGCTGGCAATGTCGTTCGTCTTGTTCGCGATGTCGAAGTAGACCACGGCGTCGTCAACAGGCATCTGCTTGTCAGACTCGCAGTTGAGGTTGACGCACCAATCAGTCTTGATGTGCGCCAACGAGCTTGCAACCACGAACTGCCTCAAGTTTCGCATTGCATTGTGGTGGGGACAGCATGCAATCTTCTGCAAGTCCTTCGCGTCGCCATCTTCGAAGTTGATGCCGAGCTCGAGGTCAGCGGTGTCCTTCACTTCGCGAATGAGCATCTGGAATACAGCTGAACGCCTCGCGTTCTCGACCACCTCCTTGTGGACGTCCCCAACCCCGAAATCGAGAACCGCCTTGATATTTTCAATGGACTGCCCGACGAGGTCGCACGTGGCACGATTGTAGATGTCACTGCCTGCAAAGGTTGGCCCCACCCTTTCGATACTCCCCCTCCATCCTGGACCCTAAACCCTCGAAACCCCCAGCCCTTGGAGACGGCCAAATCGAATAATTTCCTTCCATGTGCCCCGGCCTACACAGGACCCGTGCCCCCTGGACCGCCCCCTGGATCCCAGACGGCCCCCAGTAAACGAACGGGCGTGCCAACCAGTGTGGGCCATCTGCGTTACATGCGCTGCTCTGACACCCCGCGTCACCGATGGTATCCGTGAAGATCTGCATCTTCTCCGACAGCTGGCTGAGCACCACGGGGTCGGTTGCGGAGCTCTCGGCAAACCACTTGATGGGCTCCGTGGGCCATCTAGAGGTTAGCTTGGCGAGGTCGATGACGTTGCTCTCGAAATTGGCGGGTGTCTCCTTGGATGCAATAGCCATCGCAACCTCCGCGACCTTCGTGATGTACTCAGCGCAGTTCTCCAACTGATCCAATGAATGATCTAGGTCGGACTCAAAGGGCACCCTGTTGACCTCACCGAGCGCATCTTTCGCGAGGCTGCCAGCCCTTCGCAATACATCCATCGCGATGGTGAACCAGCGATTGTGCATATCCTTGATAAGCCCTGCGCAAGCACTCAAACCCTTCTGGTAGTCATGGATCTTGGTCGTCATCTCTAGGATCAACGTGCTCAAGCGGACGTTCTGCTCATTGAGCTTCTCTGGCAAATCATCGTCCCCCTCGCCCTGCCTGATCTGCTCGGCATTCTGAAGCATGTCCGATAAATGCACGCCCATGTCGATGATGTCCTTGCCGCAAACATGGAAGAATACATGGACCATGAAGTATTTCCCAATCTTCAAGATCTCCTCGGAGTTCTGCAAAGACTCGATGACCATGGAAACGTTCTGGTGCACTGCTGCAGTAGACCATCGCTGGAATGGGCCAGTCAACCCCGTGAAAAGCAATCCCAGCTGCTCAATCGAAGCAGTTACAAGGGTGAGCTTCCCCTCTGAGCTCGCAACCAACTTATCTCGCCAAAGACTGATGTTGTCGAACGCATCTGAAAACATGTGTTCGAAGTGATCCACTGAATGCCGCATGGTAGCCGTCGCGGCGTCGTCTTCCACATTCTGCGCAACGTGAAGCCTGGAGACCTCCATGACTAGCTTGGGTACGACGTAGCTGACCATGATCCGTGCGAGCTATGCGGCAGGATTGTTACCCCAGGCCTGGCGAATGGTCTCGAGAATGATTCTGCGAGCCTTCCTCACCAACTGCGCGTCTGGGCGCCCGCTCTCCTGGTGAAGACTGCACTGCGTCACGATAGCGATGGCCTTGAGGAGCTCGGAGAACACGCTGTCGTCGTCGTACCTAGAACACTTCTCACTCCAGATGACCGCCATCGAGGTCGCGTCGTTGACAAGCTGCTTCGTCAGCTCCTCGTCCTTCAGGAGGTCTACGTTCAAAGGGAACGCCCAGCTTCGGAAAGCTTCGGAGACCATGGTAGACATGTGATGCATAGTGGAAGCGTCGGTGACCACGCGAGTGCTCAAGTCTGCCGCGCAAAGTTTCGCCTTCTTCTTTTTGCTGTCGGACGGTGCAGGGCCAGTCTCCTCAGGTTCGACTTGCTCCTCCGCAGCTGCCGTGCCAGCACCGTCCGCAACTGCAGCGTCGGGTTGAATGACCTTCTCAGCGATGTTCGCAGCGAGCGTGAAGACCTCTGGGTTCATCACCTTCAGAGCCTGATGTACTTTGCCAGCCTTCTTGGAAACACCTTGGAACAACGCGTAGCCGAGAACAATGCAGAGCTCTTGGGAAAACGTTTTGCCGATCACGTCCAAGTAACCCAGCAATACCGAGAAGTGCGGTAACGTCTTCAACAACAACGACTCGTCTTGTGCTTCGAGCCAAGACTTGATGCTCTTGTACAGCTCGATGATAGCAATGGTTCTGGCTTCGAGCTGCTTGTAGCCCACCTGGAAGTCGTAGTTCTGCTTGCCAAGGATGTTCGGCCCATGCTTCTGAAGTCGCCGCAACAGCGCCTGAACTGTCCCCAGCTTGAAGGTACGGTGCCAATCTGGAGCTGCCAGCTTCGCCGCGTAGTCGTTGATCGTGGTGCGCATGCGGTTGATGCACGTGGAAAGGTTCCCGCTTGGCAACACCGATGCCAATGATACACCATTGATCGGAAGCCCATCGATGCAGAGCTCGCTCTCAGCCCCGTCACTGATCGGAGGTTGCGCGACATCGTCGGAGCCGACTGGGACAGCCACGGTGACATGCTGCATTGGGACCGCCACGTCGGTGTGCTTCATCATCAGGATCAGCATCTCGTTCATCTTGCTGGACATGCCATCGACGGCCTCGCGCTCGGCCCCACCTGGCACATCCTCCAGCTTCTCGCCGACAGCAGCCTGGTCAGCACCGTCACCCTGCTGGGCGGACGCATCGGGAGCGCCAGCGCGAGCGCACCCCTCGTCCTTGGTTGGGACCTGGTGCTCCTGCATCGGCATCGAAGCCCTGCCAGCGAAGACAGCTTCGATATCCAGCATCTCGAAGTCTCTCTCAGCTGCTCCTTCCACGAGCTCGCGGTGTTCCTCCTTCATCATCACGGCGCCGTGCGCGGCCATGGCCGCTCGCGCGGCGGTCTCGCGCTGCCTCCGACGGTTGGCAGCGCAACCCTCTGCTGCGCCGCAGGCTGCAGCCTGAAGCCAAAACGGCTAGCACACGGAGGAGGAATGGCGGAGGGGCGGGAAAGACGCGGCAACCTCTTCGAGTGCCGTTCTGCCAACATCGAGAATAAAGACCATCCGTGTCTCTCTGAGAATAAAGAACATCTGCGTCTCAATCGGTTGGGCAATGGCGAGAGGGAATATCAGTGTGACCGCAATCCGCACCTGTATCATATATCAGAGCTTCGCTTCACAAACGGGTGTCTAGGCTGCCACTCTGGATGCACAATGCAATGGGAGAACGGTGGGCCATGCCCCTTCATCTTCCAACACTCCCCTCCTCCTCCTCAGTCCTCTCATCCTCCTCCTCCTCCTCCTCCTCCTCCTCCTCCTTCTCCTCATCCTCCCCCTTCTCCTCCCAATCGGAACGAATATGTAAGTGATTGATGCCCGTTGGGGCCCTCAGTGAGGTCATCCCCCTCCCGTTGCCCTCGACCAGTGTAGGACCAGGGCTTGCCACGTAGCTTGCACTGCGCAAACATCTGCTGAGTTTCAGGGCCCCCTTCCGAACATAGTTGAGATCTTCCGCTGGGCGCCAGAGCAAGAGCCTCGAATCGCTTTGCTGTGCTATACTGTGCAAGTGCGCCAACTGCACTCTAACGCAACAACCTAAGATGATATGGTGTCTTCCGCTGCTACGTTTCCAGATGCAAACGCATACAAAGTTACGTAGACAACACTGTGTCATACATTAGTTTAAAAGTACCTTGCCATGCTGTGCAATGCTGTGCTACGCTGTGACCTGCTGCAGAAGGCAATGAGAGGTGCCATCAATTACTGGCCGCACTGTTACATGTTACATGTATGTTTGATCTTGTTTGTCATGGTGATGCTGTTAGGTGATGGCGTAGCCTTTGAGATATGCACGCAACGAAAGAAGACAATGGCCACAATGGCGGACATCTGAATCTGATGACTGGAGATGCTTATCATTTACATCCTCAACGGTTCAGCATGCACCCCCCAGCGGGGGTCGGTAGCAGTCGGCACGACGCAGCCGACGGCAAACAATCGAGCGTTGGTGGAGCGCCCATGGCCCCACTGAGGCCTCACGATGCAGCCAACCTGGCTGGCATCCTCGTCATCAGAGCTGCTCACTCTTGCTGCTCTGATCTGCGAGCGAAAAGGCCAATCTGGTCCTCGTCCTCGTCGCCGCTGCTCAGAGAGTGCTCGGAGCGTGGGGCGTAGGGGTCGACGTGGCTGTCGAGGCCCGAATCATTCTGTCACAGTGGTCTGCTTTGCCATTCCACTTCGTCTGGTCCACGAGCAGCGCCGTACTGACTGCGTTCTGAAGGGATTTCAATGATTTCCGAAGGCGCCTGACGCGCTGAATGAGCCACCTGCCCTTGAGCCTCGACACGAAGAGCGTTCTGAAGAGCCGCTTACACTTGCGGCGCAACTGGCTATCAGCGATGTCCAATACGTAGGGCGGGTACGGTATCACACCGTAAGCATCTGCATGCTGGAGACGTTTGGGAGGCATGGCCGCGAGATCCTTAGGTGTCGCAGAAGTGGAACCAAGAAAAGCGGCTTAGACCGAAATGCATACGGACCCGCAAGAAGGACACCAAACAATAATGATTGTCGTTCGTTCACTGCGCTGACCGAAGTGCATGCAGACTGGCAAGAAGTGGTGAACTGAATTCGTTCGCTCAACCGGACTCAACCGAAGTATTTCTACCGGAACACAGGCCCGAGAAGCAGACAAGCAGCTGGCTGGACACAAGAGGAACGCAATTGGTGAATTACAACAATCTCGAGACCGACTTTGCTGCTGGATGGATACTAGCGGCCTGACACGTGAATGAATTACACATATTCGAAAGCTGCTTTGCTTGCGACAACGGCGTGGCAACAGCTTCACTCATGCACGTGTTGACGTGCTGATGTATTGGGGTATGCTACAAAATATTATGTCATGCAGACCGCGCGATTTCTTTTGTTGCTGGAATACACGAATCGGGACACTCGCTGACGCAGTTGAAACCTAAAAACGATGGCATCACGACTCTCATGATTCATGACCGTTTGGACGCGCGCCCCCCTACCCCCCCCCCCCCCGCCCACCCGCCCGCATGCCCGCCCACCCACCCGACCACCCCACCGCACCACCACCACCACCACCACCACCACCCACCCACACCGCACACCATGAACCACGCCCCTTGCCCCAGCATTACCACCAGCCCCACCAGCGCCATCAACGCAATTGTGTTATTACCATCAACATCCGACCCCAATGCCCCCTCACCCCCACCCGAGCCCCACCCCGCCCCGCCCACCCGCCCACCCCCACCCCGCCCACCAACCCACGTCACGCGCGCGCAACCGCCACCACAACTACCACCACTACCACCGCTCCACAACCTTCTTCTCCATCCAAATCCGCAACCCTTCAGGACTGCCCCCCCCCCCCCCCCCCCCCCCCGCCCCCACGCGCTACCCCGCCCACCCGCCACCACCGCCACCGCTGCCCTCCATTCGCAACTCGAGCCCCTGCTCCGACACCCCCCCGTCTCTATTATCACCTCACTGCTTCTGCGCGCTCGCGTGCGTCGCGGTGGAGGAGGGTAGCAAGGGCAGGGGTTGAGTTGGAGAGGTGGCGAGTGGCTGGGGGGTGGGTGGTGGAGGGGGGTGGACGGGTCGGTGGGGAGGGGTAAATAAGGGCGAGGCAGGGGGTGCGGCAGGGGCAGCGCAATGGCGCGGGCGATGGTGGCGGGAGAGGACATGGCACAGATGGAAAGACGAATTGGGCGATGATGGGGAAGCGCGCAGGATAGACAAATGCGCGCGTAAGTAACTGAATGGTTGCTTAGTGAGCACGGGCGCGGGAGTTGCGGTGTAGCGCAAACGCGATGGCGGTGATGGCGGTGGTGCAGCGAGTGCGCTAGTGGAGTAGTAAAGCTGGCTGGAAGAAATGGAAATGGAATGCTGACTTGGGCATGGCGTCAATGTGCGCATTGCTCGTGGGCGCGCGCGGTTGAGATTGCGCGGGTTAAATGTTCGCGCGCGCGCCCGCGCGCGCGTGGAACAGTTCAGTTGCGGCGGCATTTCGCTGGAGAAACAATTGGAGACGTTGGTGAACAAGGGTGGAAAGGCGAGTGGGTGGCGCAGTGCGATGCGGTGCGAGAGAAGGAGGCAGCGGGGTTGACAAGGCGTGGGAGCAGCGTAAGGACCGCGAAGGTAGGTGGTCGCAAGATGACCAACAGGAAGAACGGGCGCGTGGGTGGCGGAGAACCGCTGTAAGTGGCGGCGGTGAAGTGAGGCGCGCGCGCACGCGCGCATATGAGGGGCGCGGCGCGCGCCCGAGGGCGCGGGATGAGGGGCGGCGGCGAGCGCGCCGCGAGTGGACGGGGTGGTGGGCGTGGTTGGGTGAGGCAAGGGAGGGCGTGCGAAGGTGGAACGCCTGGAAGCACCTTCGTAAGTGCACGCGCGCGGCCGAATGGCCCGCGACGGTGGTGGTTGCGGACGCGGCGGCGGGCGAGCGGGAAGGCTGGTGGATGGCAGAAGGTGGTGGATTGGATAAAGGGGTAGCGTGGTAAATGGGTGGAGGGTTGTGCGCGCACGGTGGTTTCGAAGGTGGCGCGCGCGCGCGGGATGCATGCGGGTGGAGTTGGGCGAGGGCGGGAGGAGGTGATGGGTAGGTGGGAAGGGGGAGAGCGGCGGAGAAAGGGCGTGGGAGGGTGGACGCGGGGTGGGGTGGCGGTGAAGAGGTTAGGGCATGTGTGGTGAAAGAAAACCAGGTCGTGTAAGGTTGCGTTGCGGGCTGTGCGCGCTGCGCGCGCGTGCTTGAGAATGTTTGGCGCGCGCGGCGATGGCGGCTGCGGCGATGGCGGCGAAGAATGCGCGGTGCGCGGGGGCGTTGATGCGTGGGCGCGCGAGGAGGGCGATGGAGGGGCGGCGCGACGATGGGTTGTGGAGGGGTTGATGGTGGGAGGCGGGCGCGCGCGCGCGCGGTGGAGAGCAGAGATGGCTGCGGTGATATCGGCGACAGCGGTGGCGATGGCAGAGGCGCGCGCGCTCGTGCGACGGTGGCGGTGGGCGTCGGAAAAAGAACCTTGCGTCGAATCGTCTCCCTTCCTCGGCTTGCTTCTTGCCTGTTCATTGAACGTGCGAGGTCGCGCGCCGCGCCTATCTCTCGTCGTTCATGACCGCATGGTTGCGTTGAAAGTCCATATCGTTCTTGGTATATCCATCTGCTCCGCGGCACCTGCCCGCGTTATCTCTCCATCCCCCCGCCCCCCCCCCACCCCGCCCCTCCCCCCCCCCCCCACCCCCCCCCCCCCACCCCCCACCCCCCCCCCCCTGCATCCAGCTCGCCCGCCCGCCGACTCCGCCGCCAGCGCAGCGGCCGCGCGCTTCGCGCCAGCGGTCGCGTCTGCACGTGCCCCAACCACCAGCCGCGCACGTCTACTCGCGTGCGCGCGCCCGTGCAAATGTTACCTGCGCGCGAGCTGCGCTTGAGATCGCGCAATGCGCGCCAGAATGCGCGCGTTGCAACGCGCGCGCGTGCGCGTCGCGCTGGCCTCTTCGGTTACATTCCAACGGTTGAACGTTTTCTGCTCGGCGGCGCATTCCCGCTGGATTATAAAATGGCGCGCCAAGGGGGCCAGGCCGAGTGCCTCGGTTTCGCTCGCGCGGTGACGTGCAAACCGAGCTCGCGCGCGAAACGCTACGTCAGAGATGCAGCGCAGTGATGCCACCCGCCGCAAGTAGCGAACGCTACCAGCAAGCGCAGCTACCCCGCGCAAGCCGCTCGGCGCAACCCCTTCTTGCGCTGGTAACGCGTGGGAGCAGCGTCGGACTCGCGGCGCGACGCCGCACAGATGCGCTGGACCCGAACAACGACAGCAAGGAGTAACGCGGGCCGCATCCGTCAACGCGCGTAGTCAACTCGAGACACGCGGAGAAAGGGGGGTAGTCAACAGGAAAACGTAGTCAAGGGGGGTAGGACAGGGGGGTAGTCAACAGGGGTAGTCAAGAGAAGAGGGGTAGTCATGGGCACGAAGCAACGCCCAAGCGACATAGTCAACACACGCAACCAAAGGAAACAACGGTAGTCAACAGGAGTAATTAAGAGCGCGCGGGGTAGTCAACAGGGGTAGTCAAGGCGACAGGGGTAGTCAACAGTGGTAATTAAGAGCGCGCGGGATAGTCAACAGGGGTAGTCAACAGGGGAAGTCAAGCCATTCCAATTAACTTAACGTCGGTGACCCGACGCCCCAGCGTCGGTCGCGCGAAAGCCGCTGCGCGGGAATGCGCAATTTGCATCCGCCACAAGCGTTGCCTGATATGCGAAATATCGTTCGTTGTCGCTTGAAACTCGTCATCTGGTTGTCGCTTGAAACTCGTCCCGACGCGCGCCGTCTGCCGATCATTGCGCAGCTGCAGCGCGCGCCAGGGTGGTGATCAGCGCGGTGAGACGCATGGAATGACATAACCTAAACTTCGCCAGCTGAGCCAACAACACAGACTTGCCTACATTTGTGGCGCATGGCGCGCGCGTCGCGCATGCCGCCCGTCGTCTCTGCGCCGCGCCCACTTACCCCCCCCTCTCCACGCGCTCCTTCCCCAATCCCATCGCGTTGCGCACCTGCGCGCGCAAAAGCGCGTCGCGCGCAATCACGCGCGCTCGCGCAGCGCTCCTCCGCCGCCTTTCACCCGCTCACCCGTCAACCAGACTGCGCTCGCACCGCGCGCTCGCCCCGCAGCGCCGCCCTCACGCCCCGCCGCACCCCCTCCCCCACGCCCTCACCCTCTGCTCAACGACGCAATTGCCCCGCCGCCATTGCGCCGCGCACGCGCGCCTGGCGCGCGCGATGGGCGCGGCATTGCGGCGCCAACGGGGTGCGCCTCGCACGCGCGCGTGCGAACTGCGACGCGCGCGTAAACGAGGCGGCGGCGCTGGCGCTGCGCGCTGCCGACCCTTGTACATGGCGCTGCGCGCCATGCATTTCTCCGCGGCGATTGCGCCCTCCGCCCGCCAAGGAGGGTTCAGAACCGAGAGAGTATTAAAACAGAACGCGCGTCGCGCACGCGACGAGAATAGACATTGCCCCATGCCACATCGCCGCGCACCTTGCGCGCGCGTCGAACATTCCAGCGGCTCACTCGAGCGCCGCTTGATCGCCCGCGAGGTCGGCGGCAGCCGTTGCAAGCGCCAAAGCCCGCGAGCGCTCGGCGCAGTGCTAGCTGCTAGCGAGCGTCGCGCCGCGCCGATGCAAGGTTATGTCGGCGCGCCACGCGCGCGCAAGCGTGACATTGTGAGCGCCTCGAGCAGCGGCAAAGCGGTTGTCGCAGAGGGGGGGTGCGCGAGCCAACGCCAGCTCTCGATCTATCGTCATCGCCCAATCATGCGGGCGAAAGCGCACCCCCCCTTCCCCCACCGTCTCCGCCCTTCTGATCCGCGCGCACCACCCAGCGTCTCCCGCAGCGCACTCGACCCGCGCGCTCGCGCACCGCCGCCGCCGACGCGACCGCTGCCACCGTGCGCACGCCTCGCGCGCCCCGCCGCCCGACCCGCCCACCCGCGCGCGCTCGCACTCACGCGTGCGCGCCGCGCCACCACCATCGCCATCGCCACCGCTACTGCCTCTCACCTCCCCCCCCTGCCAGAACTCCTGCTCGACCCCGCGCACGCGCGCCGCCCCGCCCTACCCCCGCGCATCCCGCGCGCGCGCCCGATCGCAGCCCCCGCCCCCCAACTCCACCCGCCGACCCGTCCCGCCCCCTCTCGCAGCCTTACCCCGCCCCGCGGACGCACGCGCGCACAGCCTCGCAATAGCGCGCGCGCACTCACACGCATGCGCGCGCACGCATGCGCCACGCGCGGCCCAGTTCAACCCGCCGTCTCCATCGACCGCATTGCGCGTCCCGCCGCTGACTCACTTCTGTCGCACTCGCGCAAACCAACCGCAAATCAATAACAATACAATGGCAACAACGCGCACACACACAACCACGCGGCTTCATTTCGTCATCGTCGCTCTAATGGCGCGATGCGCTCGCACAAATATTGCGCATGCCCCACTTCCCCCCGACCACCCCCTTCACAACCCGCGCGCGCCATCCCCCGCCCCTCTCACCCCCCCCCCACCCCCGCGCCCCCTCTCCCCCGCCCACCACCCTGCCCCACCCCTCGCCTACATCACCCTTTCCCACGCGCCAACCCACCCACCCGCTGCCCGCCCCCCCAGCCGTCGGACGCACTCCATTCGTACCCTCCCACCAACCCATCATTCCCACCGCGGCATGCTCTTCAGTCTTGCATTCCCACCACGGCATGCACTCAACCATCCCACAACCACGCTCCCCCCCCACCACCACCACCACCACCACCACCCCACCCCACCCCACCCAACAACACCCTACCCTGCCCCACGCCCTACCACCCCCAGCCACCCCCCCCACCCCACCCCCCCCCACCCCAACCACCCACACGCCGCACCCTGGCCCCCTCGCCCCTCCCCCGCCACCACCACGCACGCACAACGCCTCGCCACGCGCAAGCACGCTAACCCCCTTCCTCAGGCGCGCACTTACAATCGCCACTGACGCGCGCCACCCAGTCCCCCCCCCCCCCCCCCCCCCCCCCCACACACACACACACACACGCCACCACCATCACCACCACCACCACCCACACCCACGCCCACAACACCGCACACACACAAACGCGCGCACACAAACGCACAACTATACCCCCCCCCCCCCCCCCCCCCTCCACCATGCCACCCGCACCACCGCCGCGCCGCCGCGCACGCGCGCGAGCGCACACGCGCGCGCAGACGCACACACAAAGACATACACACACCACCCCCCAACCACGGCGCACTCACCCACCACATCTGCCCGAGCGCTCACCCACCCACCACGACAACACACCAAAGCGCCTCGCCCTGTGTCGCGCAGCCGCCCCCCTCCCCTCTCCACCGACCCCCATCAGTGAAAAGGGTAGCAACGCATGAGCACTGCCCGCTCCATCACCCACCACCAACGCCCTCCACGCAACTCTTCACTACCGCCCGAGCAGTCTGAGCACATCTTTTATATCCACCCGACCTTCTTCCATTTCCTTCGCCATATCGCCCCATATCCTAGTGTTCCCACCCACCTGCCGCCGCGCAACTACCCTATCCCATTAAACCTTCCTCTCGGCCACTCACTTACCGCAGCGGCCACGCGCAAACGTATGCTTGATGTGCTCGGCATAATAAACTAGGTGCCGCGCGCCGACACAGCGCTGCTACGCGGTGGATATTGCATGGTCGGTGGAACAAGTTTGAAACGCGGGTGCGGAACGCAAGCGGCACCATGCGCTTGCGTGTCGGCTGCGTACCCAGCGCGCTGCCGCACCGCGGTTTCGCGATGCCGATTCAACGTTCGCGCGGTAAGCGCTAAGAGTTTGCGCTCGTCGTGCGTTAAGGGTAAACGATAGAAGGGGCGCGTGGTTCACACATGTGGTGTCTTGAACAAGTGGCGCTACGTTGGCCTTGACAGCGCTGTTAAGATGTTGCTTTGTACAGGGCGGAATCGATGATTCACGCATTGATGCCACCAGTGCATCGGTTTACGTTGCTACGGTTACGCCGCGCGCTGGGTGGTGCGAGTTTGCGGGTAAGCGCGCTGCGGCAGGACGCGGCGCCGCAAGCATTCCTGAAGCGCTCGCCGCTGGCAGGTGTTTTCGCGCGTCGTCGGTCGGGGTTCAACTCGTTGTTGATTGGCGCAACGCCCGTGCGCAAGTTGGTTCAACGCCCACAGCCTTCACCGACATCTGTTGTACACGATGCCTTGCTGTGCCGTTCAACCGCTTATTTGTCCCTCGTTGCAGTTCGTCTCCCCACTTAGCGCCCGCGTGTTCTGTGTGTTTAACGCGCGCCCGTGCGACGATGCCTCTTCTATATGTCAATAGCGTGTGCGTTTAGAATGCGATGCTGCCCTACTTACTTAAGATATGGCAATCAGAGAGTCAAACTTGCCCGTATCGATGCACTTGGTATTAGAAAGCGTACGTGCGTTTGCAGGCTGGTTATTCGCGCACACATGGCACGCGAGTTCCCACGCAAAGTTCACCGTTGCCCTGTGCCCCACCCCGCGCGCCCCCCACTCAGCCACATCCGTTACCCACGCCGCCTCCCGACGCATCGGCGCCTTAGGGGATCATATACGATGATGATGTTTGAAATGCTGATGTCGTGCATTGTGCTTTACTGATGCATGTCGTATTTTTTTGTGTGTGTATGTATTAATTGATTCGGCCTTAACCTGCCACTGATTGGCTCGGATGTTGGTTTGTTTATTTGGCTGTTTCCGCGTTGGCCACGCGATGACACCTAGGATCCCCTGGGGTCCTCCTCTAGCTTCTTAGCCCTCCAAGTCCCCTGGGCTTATGGACGACTGCGTCGCCCATAGGTGGCCAGAGGACTTGACCGAGCACTAGAGAGCATGAAGAGCAGGACTCCTAGAGACCAACCTAGGCACCAACCTAGAGACCATCCTAGAGGACCCCAGATGCCCACCTAGAGGACCCGAAGACACCCTGAGACGAGCCCAAAGTCAGACAGGAACGCGGTGCCCCATTACCCTCAGAGCCAGAGCCCACAGAACCCAAAGAGCCCGAAGATCACCCAAACCAACCCAAGAGGCCAAACAAGCCTGATAAAACCACAAAGATCCAAGAAGAGCCAGCCCAAACAACCCAAAGATGCCCAAACGATCCAGACATCCCATTATGCCCTGATGCCCAAGAGAACCCTGAGCCCCAAGAACACCAAAGACCCCCAAGCTCCCTCAGAGTCCAAAGGGCGTTCACGCAAAGCGGACAGATTCATTGTTTTGGCCAGGCCCAGCGCTCGCACAAACTTGCGAGTCGTGGTGAATGAACGCCTTCCGCAGAAGGCAAGCCTCAACGCTTCCTCTTCTTCACACCCCACTGGTCCTTCGCGATGTTCATGTGCTCGCTCGCCAGCTTCTTGTTGGCGGCAGCGTCCGCGCCCGTCGGCGTAGCCTCGACGGAGAACAGCCACTCCTTCAACGCCATGTCGGATGGACACGCCCACTCCGTCAGACAGAGATGGCATGACCTGCGACGGTAGCAGTTCACTGTCACCGACTTCGCAGGCTTCCCCCGCTGAATGCGCATGATGTGCCTCCCTGCCATGTGTATGTAGCCTGATGCTGACGGTTCTCCCAGCAGAAGCCATGGCTGATGACTTGGCGGAGGTGGAGGTGGAGGCTCCTCATGACCAGGAACGCCAACGCCATTAGCTGGATCAGAAGGCCCCGATAGGTCCTCGGTGCCGTCCAAAACCTTTGCAACGCCACCTGTAATAATTGACAACGTGTGGTCGTCGCACGTGGGAGGATCCACGACTGGCTCTACACCAGGTTCTGGTTCCAGTGGCGGCGGGAATGGATCGACCAGCTGAGCAGGAATATCATCATCATACGCATGGTCGAGCTCCTCGGCTGACGTGATAGACTCATTGCAAACGTCATCAGCGACGTCGAACTCGTCATGCAACTTTCCGCCACCGCCTCCTGAATCGCCATCCTCGCGTGGACCATCATCACCTTGAAGCTCAGGCTCTTGACGATCTGCAAGTGGAAGAGGACCCTCATCATGACTGGCTCCTGCGGCACCTCCCGCGCGGCCTCCACGTCCACGGCCTCGCCCTTCGCGACCACGACCTGTGCCTCTGCCTCTGCCTCTGCCAGGCTTCTTCTCCATCTGCTTCTGCACTCTCGCCTGCGCGGTCTTGCTGAACGGGTCGTCGGTGACCATGGCCTGCGCGATCTTCTCGTGCTTGGCAGTCGTGCTCGAGGGCTCCGCGTTGAACTGCAGCGGCCTCTTCATTCCAGTCTCCCACAGCTTCCCCAAGTACTGTAGACCTGTAATCCTCGAGCGCCTCAGTGTCCCGTCGGCGTGGTCCACCTGGTAGTGCGCCTCGTAGAGCTCCATGGTATCCATCATGTCCGCCAAGAGGTAGATCCACTCGTCGGAAGTTTTCGTATCGATCACCTGGGCCTCGACGCCGTTCAGCTTGCTCTGGCGATCTGCGATGTACACGCAGCATGGTAGCTCAATGTCCTGAGGGCCGAGAAAACCAAAACTCTGTTTGCGAACCTCATCCTGTTCTTCGGGTGCCTCCTTCTCCCCCTTCTTCTCCGCCTTCTCCTCCTCCCTCATTCTCCTCTTCTGGTCCCTCACCATCCTCGTCCTCGTCCTCCTAGAGCCCTCCCCCTCCGTGTCCTTCTTCCTCCTCCTGCTCCCCCCTACCAGCGATCGCCCTTCCCCTTCCCCGTCCTCCCCTCCTTTCCTCCTCATTATCCTGATCCTGCTCCTCGTCCTCCTCCTCATCCTCGCCGTGAGTCCTCGCTGGTGCTGTTCTGCTCCTTCTCGAACGCGTTCATCGTTACGTCGAAGATCTTCGGGTTGTAGGTCACATCGCTGATGATGCAGACCGTCCTCGCAGTGCCTCCAGTGGGGCTGCGACCAGCAACCACAATCATCGTATCGGACTCGTCCGCCTTCGCACGGCCGATGTGGTCAATGAACTTGTGCATGCCCTTCTCTACGATCTCGAAGGCTGCTGGTTGTCTGCTCGTTGATCTGTCAACGTTTCTGGCGCTCCGTCCAGTGCCCCACAAGTCGTACTCTGCAGACAGCGCGAAGTCCACTGAGTTGTCGCTCGCAACGCTCCTCTCCTTGCCGCTCTCGTCGTACACCTGCGAGTCCTTAGGCCACCCGTTCTTGGAGACCCACGCGAGCATCTCGTCTGGCGTGATGGGAGTAGAGCTGCATCCGCCGCCCCAAGTGGTCTTGTAGGTGGTCGGGGTCTCGTCAGTCTGCTTCTTCGGCCGCGCCTTCCACATGCTGTGCGCCTCCTTGAAGACGTCCCGATCTATATCCTGGACCCACATCTGCCGAAACCTAGTCGACAACGTGCTCAGCTCCTCCTCCGTCAACGTTCTCCCCTTCGATGCCTTGGCGTCGTTCATATACTGATTTCTCGCAAGAAGGTATGGGTTCAATCCAGGAGCGCGTGAACCAGCGCCAGGGTCTCTGTTCTTGGGGTCCACGTCCGATGGCGGCGTCCAATGAGCAGGGTTCTGCCTGGTGATGCTGATCTCATTCTCGAATGACCTCTCCTCGGTCGGCTGCTCCGACGCTCCTTCGACGATGGCGCCATCGTTCTCACGAACAGCATCTGCCAAGGCTGGAAGATCTCCAGGCCCTTGCAACGGAAGTATATGGAGCTTCTGCGGGATGGTCGGGGAATCGTTCACCAACGGCATGCAACTCACATTCTCCTTGCCTCCGTCGTTGTACAAGCACCTGGGAGCTAAAGGGCTCTTGCCACCATTTTCACAATGAATCGAAACCATATGTGCAAGAAGATGCTCGCGTTCCGCATTGGCACTGTTGCGGCCTTGGCCCCTGCGAGGGTGACGGTGGGTGTACTCGCTGTTGAGTCTCTCGATCATATCTGTACCATACCCAAAAGACCTGAAATCATTGTATAATGTAGACATGCACTTTGTAGACATCAGGTCGTCCTCGGTCGGGAACAGCTCCACCAAGCCCTTCGTATACGCGCCCTTCTGGTCTGTCTTTTGGAGAGCTGCTTGGGCTGCGCGGCGCTTCTCGTCCTCGGTGGACCTGCAATGAGAGAGTGGATACAACGCGAATGGGTACTCAGAGAATTTGGCCTCGTATCTCCTGGCCATGGCAGCATTCAATCGTAGAAGTTGGCTCCGTGCCCACCTTGAGAACTCCTGATCCTGAATCGGAGCCTGAAGCATGTCCAGAATTGCCCACGGTTGTCGCATCTGGTCACCGTTGTTCCAAGAATCCAGCAAGTGAAGCATCCGTTCGGAGAACATGCCGATGTAGGAATCGTGGTCGAGCAGGTGGTCCAGCTTAGACTTGCACCCGCCCTTCGGAATTGTATTCCCCAGCAAGGGGTATAGGAGATACTCGTCCGCTGTCTCGATGATGCTGGAGAACACGGCCAGCTCGAAAAAGGTCCTCTCCTCGCTGTAATACTCTCGGACTTTGCGGGCCCTGATGCGGAACACCGTCTTCCAATAATCCTCGGTGCCCTCATCCATGGAAGCCGTTGGCATCGGACAAGGGCCGTCGTCCGTGCTCCAAGCCCCAGTGAACGAATCAATCCCAAGCCTGTAGGTCAGCCGTCGCAGAAGGGTCCGCTTCATGCACATCAACAGGTTCGTCCACCGCGATTCTGCCGGCCTCGCGTCGGCGGTGCCGTAGAGCGCGTGGACCGCGGCCACGCACATCTTGTCTACTGTCTCCTGCCTTGAGCGGCAGCACGGCTTGCCCGTCGCAGGGTCGTGGCAGTAGTGGGTAATCTTCTGATCGCCGATGGTGCCGTTCATGATCTTGCACAAATCTCGGAGATCTGTGAGCAGTTGTGACTCGGACTGGCCGTTCTTCCCGCGCTTGTGGTAGTCCGACTCGAAACTAAAGAGCATCTCGCACAACAAATGAAGCGTATGTGAATGTGCGTGGTCGGGTGGCGGGCCGACGATCCGTTCAGCACGTTCTGAAACGATCTGCTCGATACCATTGATTATCTTCGACAAGTTCTGGCGGTACCTGATCATGGCAACGATGCTGAAGTGTCTCGTGGTGTGTTTCCTGCATCCTATCAGCTTCAGCTTCCCTCTGTGATGAGCGTGTATCTGGCACGTCTCTGGCATGTAAAGAAGCTTGGCGCCGTGAAGAGCGCCCAACCGCGGCTTGACCTGATACTGGATGTGGTGACCCCACGCGCGCAGCACGATCAAGTTCTGCGAAGCACGATCGCACATCGGGGCGTAGGTCAACGATGACACTGACTGCACAACCGCATCGATGTCCTCCCCAAAGATATCGAAAGGCCCTCCACGACGCAGGCCGCCCATCATGTCGTGAGCTCTGCTTCCCTCGAGCTCCGCAGCCTTGGAAAGGATGTACGGATTGTGGATGCTGCCCGTCCTGAGCTCGAGATTCACCATCATGAAGCTGAGGTTGGCTCTTTGAACGAGCGTTGGTATCGACATTGCTTTTCTCAGCGTGCGGTATCTCTCGCTCGGTTTCCATGATAATTTCACCTCCACCTCGTCCCAAGCATGCCCGCACTGAACGTGGATATATTTCCTGGTGTCCGAGATGTGATGTGCACTGCAATGGAATGCGTAGTCGACTCCGTTCTTCTGCCGATCCAAAATCAGTTCCGAAGCAACTGTGACAAGTCTTTTCTGATTCACTCCCACGTGCGTGCCCTTGGTTGGCAAGAAGCAAGCGCGAACTGCCATGATGAAATCGTTCGATTCGAGGTTGCGTTTCCTCCCTAACGCTGTCGAGCCTGACGGTGTACCGAGAACTAGCTTTGCTGCAGGAACTGTGGAAACGATGCTGCGTACCATGGCATCTGTCTGCTTCTTCGCGTCGATGGCCCTCTGCTCTGCTACGCGTGCTCGCTTCTGGAATCGCACGAGCCGCGCATTCATTGCAGTCTCCCAGGACCGAGGGCGTAAGTGCTGCACGGCTCTCTCGGGCGCAGGGTCCACAGGCATCAACTCGAAGCCCTGCAACACACCCAATGATCCTGCACCTGGTGGAATGTCTGCTGCTGGAATATCATCTGCTGGAATGTCTGCTGCTGGAATATCTGCTGCTGGAATATCATCTGCGATGAAACCAACTGCTGGAATGCCTGCTGCAGGGATATCTGGGCCGAGGTTCGTGCTGACATCTGGAACGGTTGCGTCGAGCTCGCCAAACTCAGCAAGTATGTCCGCGAGACTGCCCTCAAAACCGCCACCAATCGACGCCATGAGAAGGCCACAAGCCTCGAATGTATGAAGAGCTGCGCAAAGCAAAACGGATATGGATAGCGCAAACATTTGCAGCATATGGAGAAAGCGTCCGAGGAATCGGCCTCTGCCAAAGCGGCTGCGGAACTGATCAAAGCGAAAATGTGATTGACCCCTTCCGTCGGTTCGACTTCGGAGAATGAGGGGGGGTCTGGGTTACTCAACTTACTCTGCTTAGGGGGGGGGGCGCAATTAGGCTACTGGCATAGGCCTTGAAGGGAGTTGCCTCAGGTATTTCAAGTTTAGGTTTTCTTGGGACGTTGGCTACCTTTGGGCGCTTGGGGAGGAATGGGGCTTGCATTTAAGAAGGTGGGGGTTATTCCCTTGGCGTTCGATGCATAGAGGTAAATCAGGCGAGGATGTCTCAAGCGCACGCTACTACTGATCGCAAATATCGCAAGCATAATCTTTAGGATGCTTTGGCTGTTGACCTAACGAAATTGTGCGTCCAGAATGTTGCTGGCAAGATTCGCGTTGACGCACACCGCGTTTCGGCCCCAGGGATCCCGTTGACGCGCCCTTTTGGGCCGTTGTATAAAAACCTAAGATCTCAGACCCCCAGGCGCGCTCAACTGGGGCCCCGCGACCCACGGGAGGCACGCTGCGGGCGCCAAGCCGGCGGCGCGCACTCGTCGGCGGCGCCGCGCGCGGCGGGCGGCCCTCGTGGACGACGTGTGCGCGGAGGCACTGCTGCGCCCAGGCAGGGGCCCAGGAAACGAGCGCGGGGCTGGCCATCGCTCGGACGTCCATTCCCTGTGTTTTTTTCGGTTACGTGCGTGGTTTTTTCGCTGAATCATCGAGGATGCTCCTCGATGGTCCTCGCCAAAAGAAAAATGCACACGTCCGAGCGATGCCGAGTGGGCCGGTCGGTGGACTCCGCGCGGCACGCGGCGCCGCCGGGCCCCCCGACCCCCCAGGGCGAGGCCCCGCCGCGCTCCGAGGAGCGGCGGCGGAGGCGCCGAGCGCGCGAGGAGGGCGGCCAGGGGGTGCGCGGGCGCCGCAGCTGCAGCATCGGCGAAGGCATCGCCCAGCCCGGCCGCAGTCAAGGTCCTCCTCCTCCTCCTCGTCCTCCTCGTCCTCCTCGTCGTCGTCCTCCTCCTCCTCCTCCTCCTCCCTCAAGCCCCTCGACGAGGCAGCCGGGGACTGCCAGGAGAGGGGGGCGCGAGGACGCCGCGGAGCTGGGCCCGAGTCGCGCTGATTGCGAGCGCGGCCGAGGTCGCCCGGAGCCGATGCCCCCAGCGCGGCCCGTGGTGTCGGCGTGGCTTGCAGTCCCCGAGCTCGGCGCGAGGGGTGGGCGGGGGAGGCCGTGCAGGCCAAGCGCCCGGGGACGAGGACTGCCAGAATCCAAGCCCGCTATGCCAAAAGCGCAGTCGCAGTCATAAAGCTTCGATCGGATGCAGCATACCTATGAAATGTAGCTAGGATAATGGTTACGCATAGGGTACATACAAACATTCACAAAAAAAAAACATCATGAAGCTTCGATCGGATGCAACATGCCTATGACATGTAGCTGGGATAGTGGTTACGCTTGCAGTCAACCCGTACAGTAAGCATGCGCGATAGGGATGCAAGAGCCTTGGACGCGCGCATTTCGGAGTTTTCGAGCGGGGCGCGACCAACGAAAGCGGCCAAGGATGGGCCGAGAATGAAGGGATGCAAGGGTACCCGTGGGAAGGTTGCCCATCCATACTATGCGGGTTGACTGTACGGTACAGACAAACATACATTAAAAACACACACACATTAAAAAGACATCTCGGAAATAATTTGTCAATTCGCCTCCTCTCCATCGATCGCCGTCCACAACTCTAGGGCGTGAGTGTTTAGAGCGCTTCCTCTTCACGCCTCCTTCTTCCCCTTCGGGGGGGGTACCCCTCCCCATCCCCCTCCCCCCTCCCCCCGGGTTTGGAGGAGGCGTTTCGCGAGGGGCTGCAGCGTCCAACGTGGCCTTGGCGAGGAGGCCAACATCGATGATGTTACTACAATTTTGGCCACATTGAGGCCTCCTGGGGGGGGGGGCGCAATTTATGATGTCCCTCCTTTGATCGATCTCTTCCAGGATGGCTCCAAGTTGGCCTCGAAGGTTCCCAAGGGTGCCCCAAGACAGCCCCGAGTCCCCGAGAGGCTCCCAAGAGACCCCCAAGAGGCTCCTCAAGAGGTCCTAAGAGGCCCTGCACGCGTACCCACGACGTTCCAAGAGGCCTTGGCGAGAAGGCCAAAAATCACTGTTAATACTTAAGGTTTTGTCCACACTGAAGCCTCCTGGGAGGGGGACCCAAATTAAGGAGCCCCCCTCCTTTGATCTATCTCCTCCAAGATGGCCCCGAAAGGGCCCCCGAGGCTACCAAGGGTGCCCCAAGACGGCCCGAAGAGGTGCCTAGGAGGCCCCAAGAGGCCCCCAAGATGCCCCCAGGAGAAGAGGCCCCATGAGGCCCCCCAGAGGCACCCAAGACGCCCCAAGAGGCCTGGGCGAGAAGGCCAGCATCATTGATGATTTCAAGGTTTTGGCCACCTCCTGGGTTGGGGGCTAATTTACCACGGCCGCTCCGTTGAGCGATCTCCTCCAAGATGGCCCCAAAATGGACCCCGAGGTTCCCAAGAGTGCCCGAAGCGGCGCCTTGGAGGCCCCAAGAGGCCCCCAAGATGCCCAAGATGCCTCCAAGAGGCCTGGCAGAGACTCCCAAGAGACCGCCAAGAGGCCCGAAGAGGCTCACCCGAGGCACCCCAAAACGCTCAGGCCCCCGGGACCTCCACGAGGCCCCCCAGAGGCCCCAAGAGGCCAAAAAGAACATCTCAAGAGACATCCGAAGAAACTCCGAGAGGCATCCCAGAGGCCTCTGGCTTTTCTGCTCGCCCTCCTCCTCCTCCTCCTCCTCCTTCTCGAGAGCGCCGCGACGGAGGGAGGCGGCGCGCGCGTCCGCGAAGGGTGGTCGCGGCTTTGCGCCCGACTGCCACGGCGCCGTCGAGTGGGGAGGCCCCGGGGCCTAGTTAGGGGGCCATATGCGAACCCTACCCCTACACCCCACGATTTCTGAGGGGGGGGTGGGGTTCACTTCGTTCGGGAGCTCCCGAGCGAAGTGAACCCCACCCTTCCCCTTGGAAGTCGTGGGGGGTAAGGGTAGGGTTCGCATGTGGCCTCCTACTAGTGCGGTATAGCTGACCTCGAGGGTGGCGCCTGCGCGGCCCGCAGCCGCCAGGACAGCGCCGGTGTCGGCGGGGGGCGACGCCGAGAGCGGCGCGCACTTGCCGCTCGACGCGGACTGAACCCGCCGGGGCTCTCGCTGATGTGGACGGTGGAGAAGCGAGCGGTGAAGCCGGCGGCGAAATCGTCCCGAGCCGCGCCGGGCTCGAGCAGTTAGCTTGGTGCTTGGACTGCCCGTGCCCGGCGCGAGCCGCCGCCTGGTCTCCGCCAGCGTCGGCACTGCCGTGGCGCAGGCCGTTGGTGGGGCCAGCGCCCGGGAACGTGGAGGCCTGGGCCTGAGCAACAGGTCTGGCCTTGTGGATGAGCACTCGGATCCTGGCGACGGCTTGGCTGTGATCGAGCGCGACCTCGACTTTGCTTCGACGGCAGGTCGCCTCACCACTTCCGAATCTGCAGGGGGTGCCGTCGGAATCACCTTGGCGGCCTCGGGTGAGCGGCGGAGCGCGGGGGCGGCCATCTCCATGCCTCGGTAGGTCCCTGCTCTTCGGTAGAGCGACGGCAACGAGAGCGTCGTCTTGTCTGCGGAGCTGTGGCAGCAGCCGTCCCCCCTCGTCGTGACTGCGCAGCGAGATCCTGGTTGTGAAGGCGTCGCCAGCTGAGTGGCGCGCGGGATGCGCGCCGACGGAGGCGGTCCAGCCGACTAGGCCAAGAGTGAAAAGCGGAGCATCCGCTGCCTCAGAGGCTAACCCCGCCGCGGGCTGGGGCAGGTGCCCCACACGCGCGGGGGGCCTTGGTGCGCTGGCGGTGGCCGTCGGTCCAGCTGACCCTGTGCCTGCCGCACGGGCGCAGGCACAAGGTATGAGTGTTCGCGCATGCGCGCAGGCATTTTTGTATGCTCTGTGTGCCCTGCCCCTGTTCAGCCCTCACCGCGCGGCTCAGCAGCTGCCTTGTGAGCTGGGCCGGCCGGCCTGCTGCGCGCCTAGTAGCTGATTAGGCCTGCTTCCGCGCCCCGGACAGCTCCTGACTCCGCCTGCGCCTTCGCTCGCGGACGCGACCGAGAAAGTGCCCTCCCCCTGCGCCGCCACGGTCCACCGGGCATCTGGCTCCCGTCCGCACCCGAAGGCTCCCGCGGGGGGCCGCCGAGTCTCTCCTCGCGGACGACGGCGGCGAGCCCGCCGGGGCCCTCGGCGGCGAGCTCGTCCGCGGGCGCGCCGGGGGGGCGCGGCCCCCCGCGAGGGAGGGGCCGAGGGTGCCGCTCGCCGGTGCGGGTTTCCTCCTCCTCCTCCACCTCCTCCTCCTCCTCCTCCTCCTCCTCCGCCTCCATCTCCTCCTCCTCCTCCTCCACCTCCTCCTCCACCTCCTCCTCCTCCTCCTCCGCCTCCTTCTCCTCCTCCTCCTCCTCCTCCTCGTCCGCCTCCATCTCCTCCTCCTCCTCCTCCTCCTCCTCCTCCTCCTCCTCCTCCTCCTCCTTCAGTGCGGTCTGGCCCTTGAGCGTCTCCATGGCGACCAGGAAAGCGAGAATTTCGGAGCTGATGGATTCCGGTGTGCCAGGAAACAGAACTCCATCAGTTCAGCAGTCCTCGCCTCCCCAGTCGCCATGGAGACGCTCAGGGGCCAGATCGCTGAGCTGAAGAATCTCAGGGGGCGCACGGCGTGCCGTGGCGCGCGGTGCGGGAGAAGAGAGAGGAAGCGGTACCGTTTCGTGTCGCGCAGGGGCACGCATCCAGCCAGTCGGACCGTGGAGGCTTGCACACCCCTGGAGGTGGACAGCCGATGGCTGCGCTCGCTCTGGGAGGGAGCTCGAGCCCAGGCGAGA